GTGTGTGTGTCAGTGTGCACTGTCAGTGTGTGTTATTGCGTGTGTCACAAGAATAATAAAATAACTGTGTTATTGTGTGTGCCAGTGTGTATCGTCAGTGTGCATTGTCACTGTGTTATTGTGTGTGTGTATCAGTGTGCATTGTCAGTGTGTGTTATTGTGTGTCACTATGCACTGTCAGTGTGTATCAGTGTGCACTGTCAGAATGTGTTATTGTGTGTGTCAGCATGTGTTACTGTGTATGTGTCAGTGTGTGTTACTGTGTGTGTCAGTTTGTTACTTAGTGTCAGGGTGCAGGTTGTCTGTGTCTTGTCAGTGTACGTCTTTCAGAGTACACTCTCAGCATTGTATCGTGTGTGTTACTGTCTGTGTCAGTGTGTCGGTGAGTTTTACTGTGTCAGGGTGCAGTTTGTCAAGTTGTGTGTATCTGGATATGTGTTTCAGAGTGCACTGTCAGTGTGCTACTGTGTGTTACAGCGTGTTTCAGGGTGCACTGTCAGTGTGTGTTACTGCGTGTGTCAGGGTGTGTTTTTCAGAGGTGTGTGTGTGTGTGTGAGAGCTCATGACAGCACTGTCCAGTTCTGCTGACACTAGGCTGATGTCATCATCCCTGACCACGCTGAGCTCTGACCCTCACAGATCCCAGACACAGATCACAGCATTACTCACAAGCTGACTGCGCCTGGGCATGAGATCACGAGCTCCGTGAAGCTCTGCTCCCCCAGCAGCCTGTCGGTCTCCCCAGACTGCCACCTGCACAGCCTAATTATCCAATTAACTGCAGGGCTGTAGCCCCGTTGACGAGCCTCCCTGGGCAATGATTAGAAACTGGACCTTCAGTCACACACACTGCTAAAGACCTCAGGAAACATCAGCACAGCTCTAAGAACGTAGTGAGGCTGATCATGTAACTGACTACTCAGTTTGGAACAGAGGATACCAGGCTCCCCAGGACTGGGACTGACCCCCCAGAGGATACCAGACCCCCCAGGACTGGGACTGACCCTCTCGGAGGATACCAGACCCCCCAGGACTGGGACTGACCCTCTCGGAGGATATCAGACCCCCCAGGACTGGGACTGACCCCCCCAGAGGATACCAGACCCCCCAGGACTGGGACTGACCCCCCAAGAGGATATCAGAGCCCCCAGGACTGGGACTGACCCCCCAAGAGGATACCAGACCCCCCAGGACTGGGACTGACCCCCCCAGAGGATACCAGACCCCCCAGGACTGGGACTGACCCCCCAAGAGGATACCAGGCCCCCCAGGACTGGGAATCACCCCCCCAGAGGATACCAGGCCCCCCAGGACTGGGACTGACCCCCCCAGAGGATACCAGACCCCCCAGGACTGGGAATCACCCCTCCAGAGGATACCAGGCCCCCCAGGATTGGGACTGACCCCCCCAGAGGATACCAGACCCCCCAGGACTGGGACTGACCCCCCCAGAGGATACCAGACCCCCCAGGGCTGGGACTGACCCTCCAAGAGGATACCAGACCCCCCAGGGCTGGGACTGACCCTCCAGTACTCCGGTTTGCAGGCGCAAATGCCGGTCTCTGTGACTTACCCCAGCCCCTGTGACCTACGCCAGCCCCTGTGAACTACCCCAGCCCCTGTGAACTACCCCTACCCCGGACAGCTGAGGTGCCCAGGACTTGGGGCTTGGGGTCCGGACGGGCCCGGCACTGTGGACTTGCTACAGCCCTGTTCCAGGCCACGGCCCTGCTTCTGTGACCTCACGCAGGATGAGACCCGGCTGTCATGCGATCAGCGAGCCGGATTATTACAGTATTGATCCTCCAGCGCAGCCTGGCCATGGCTACAGGACACACACAGCAGCCCTGATCGAAGTCTTCATCGCTCCCCAACACATTGTAATGACAGCGGCTCGGTTTAACACAGAACACTGGGCACAGCCGAGGCCCCTGAGAGGCTCATCCTTCAGCTAAAGCTGTTTCAGTCCAGGAGACCCCAGTCCGGGACGAGCCCCTACAGCCCGGAGACCCCAGTTCGGGGTCCCAGTCCGGGGCGAGCCCCTACAGCCCGGAGACCCCATTTCGGGGTCCCAGTCCGGGGCGAGCCCCTACAGCCCGGAGAACCCAGTTCGGGGTCCCAGTCCGGGGCGAGCCCCTACAGCCTGGAGACCCCAGTCTGGGATGAGCCCCTACAGCCCGGAGACCCCATTTCGGGGTGTCAAACAAACTGACACACACAGTAACACATGCTGAAAACGACTGAGAACAGGACTGACTTCTTTACACAAAGGGAGGTGGGAGTGTGGAACAGGTTGCCCAGCCATGCGGTTGAAGCCGATATCCTGTTTTCTTTCACGTAGTGGCTGTATGAGATCCTGGGATCAGTTAACCAGGAGCTAGGCTGGATGGACGGGGAGGGCTTCACTTGTCTGAGTCTGGGCTCGTGCTGTTATAGGAACCAAGGACACAGTCAGAGGCCTCACTCCCACTCCGAATACTTCTCATAAGAAATGAAATCACTCAGGACACAAGACTGTTCAGGCAGGGGCAGTGTGTCACCGATGGGAAATAACACAGCCACATTATGGTATGACTAACAATGTCAGGAGCCCGGTCTGTTTATATATTTCTACTTACAACACGTATGACATGGGGATGGTCCGCATTGGTAAAAATGACGTGGGTGGAACTACATTTAATACAATACCAGTCATGGTACCGTATATAAAAATAGTGTTGTAATATTTTATATAAAAAAGGTGATCTAAAAAAAGACAGAAGTCCTAAAATGGTTAGTCATCCCACAACATGGCCGTGTCAACACTAATCAGTGACAGACGGCCCCTGCCATTACTGCCAAAAGAATTGACTCAAGTCTGCTATTAGCACCGAGCTTACGTTGCCTGGTTAACATTCAGCCGCGACAATAGTCAATAGGCGTTGTTAAATGATCTAAAACACGCTTTTGGATTGAAATAGCCTTTAGACAGTTCTAACAATCGCAATAAAATGCAGTTTTTTTCCAAAGAATACTCATGATACTTTTTTTTACGCGATATGATGAATATATGATGAGAGCAACGAAAGAGTGAAAAGATCTTTTGATCATTCAAGACGTTGCTTTCAGTACTACCGCACTCGAGCATTTTAAAGCACACGCGCCTAGCTCGGCAGCCTGACGACATTTCCGGGGCTAGCGAAACGCCTGCGTGAAGTCCCGCCTCCCATAATCCCAGGTGACCGCCTCTCACTGGTCCCCCAGTCCGTCAATCAGGTGGAGGCAGGGCGCAGGATTGGCGGGGGAGGGACCTTTCCCCATGGGGGCGGGGTCAGTTTGGCGGGAGATTCAGAAACTGGCAGAGCGGCGCGGGCGGAGAGGCGATTTTGTTTTTGTTTTTTTTATAATTAATGCTATTGTTCTTACAAAACGTCGATCCGGACACCATTGATGCGTGTTGCATGAACTCTTTTTAGAATGGGAGACCTGGCTTTTTATGTGGTTTTTGGCACCGAAGAGCGGCCGCGCAAACTGTGGAGGTAAGAAACATAATCTCACTTTTTAGGAGGGAAATGTGTGCCACAGTGTTTACAGCAATAATACAGCCTCTGTCACAGTGTCTACCGCAATAATACAGCCTCTGTCACAGCGCAGAAGTATAGTAAATACAGTAATAATACAGCCTCTGTCACAGCGCAGAAATACAGTGATAATACAGCCTCACTGTATACAGTAATAATACAGCCTCTGTCACAGTGCAGAGATACAGTAAATACAGTGATAATACAGTGATAATACAGCCTGTTTTACTGTACACAGTAATAATACAGCCCTCTGTCACAGCGCAGAAATACAGTAAATACAGTAATAATACAGTGATAATAAAGCCTCTGTCACAGTGCAGAAATACAGTGATAATACAGCCTCTCACAGTGCAGAAACACAGTAAATACAGTGATAATACAGCCTCTGTCACAGTGCAGAAATACAGTAATAATACAGCCTGTTTTACTGTACACAGTAATAATACAGCCTCTGTCACAGTGCAGAAACAGTAAATACAGTAATAATACAGCCGCTGTCACAGTGCAGAGATACAGTAAATACAGTGATAATACAGCCTCTGTCACAGTGCAGAAATACAGTGATAATACAGCCTCACTGTATACAGTA